AGGGTGCAGGCTGGGCTGAGGGACACCTCCCCGCCCCCCCCACCCCCCCCAGTGCACAAATTTCATGCGCCAAGCCTCTAGTCCTATATAATAAAGAGCTAATATGCTAATTAGACCGAACAGCCGTCTGGACGACCTTCTGGATGAAGCTGAGGCTGTGAGGGCCAGCCAGGGCTGCGAGGGCTAGCCGAGGCAGCCGGGACTGCGAGGGCCGAGCCCCTTGCACGAATTTTGTGCATTGGGCCTCTAGTCTGTAAAATCATTTTAAAAATTCGTATATGGATGCTTTTCCATTTTTCTTCATTATATAATTGTTCTTCTCTAGGCCTTTTCTAGTTTTGTGATACCTATCAAAGTTTATTTATCACAGTTACAGAAAACACTCTGATTGCATATGTGACTTTATTGGACTCAGTTTCCCAGTATCCTACTCCCTACCTTTCCAAAGGATACAAGTGGTCTGTTAAATACAGTGCAACATGAAGTACGAGAAACATTGAGTGCCTGACTTTTGTAAATTATTGTACTGGGCAGTGTGAGGATATAAAAGTAAATGAGATTTGACACTAATCAAGGAACTTACAATATAATGGTTAACACACTATTGCTTATACAAGATAGAATATGAGTCATGCTTTGGTAATTTTTTCTCAGTCTTTTAAAGAAATATACATACACTAGGTTGTGTACATATAATACTTTTAAAATATATTTACACACTGTCTCTTCAGATATGCACACTAGCTTTTATATGTACATTATATATAGAGTTTTCACACAAGGATTCACTTTTTGTGACAAGTATCACCCATATTTCACATCTAAATTTTATATTTATAATTACTTATGAAGGAGATACGCTTATAAGACTGATTTAGCATTTAGTTTAAGTATTAAGAGTATTCCTGAGAATAAAGGCAATATGATGATACCAACTTAGGGGCTATTAAAAAAAGGAAATTTGGAAGTTATAGCTCTTTAACAAAGAATTTTGGGGGAAAATATGTTAGTTACTGAAAAATCAATTTTTTGGTATTTTTAAAGCTATTGTTGATTTTGTTTACACTCTTTTAATGTTTTAGCTAATGTCAAAGCTACAGTCATTATTATGTGAAATGATAGTGTGAAATTGATGCTGTTATAGTATAACAATAAGGACGTGACTCATGTATTTTATGTACACATGCATTCAACTGTAGTGACAAACGGCTTCATGCTGTGTGATTAAATGCATATTAGCGTTTGCCCTAGGCATTTGATTATTACCATCTTTACTTCATTACATTACCACACTGTATGGTCATATAATTTATAAGATAATACACACATCACTTTGTTGCTGATAGGAATTATTCTGTTTTATGGATGGTGTCCTTTAATTTTGCCTTTCATGGATTATAAAATTGGTTAATATCTGCTGAAGTGAATCACTGGAGAAGCAAATAAAGATGCTGGCCTCAGGTCACAGTGTCATTTGTGATACTGGCAAAATCTTACAGGCTCATTTATCCCTGTACATGATTGATAACAGCATGGGTTAAATGGAGAAAGCTTTGCTTCTATTAAAGGATCATCATGAATGAAGACCTCCCACTTAATAGTCAGGCATGATGAGAAGACAAGAGACTGTCTACAGGTCAAATTAAATAACTTAAATAATTTAAGCAGAATGACAGTGTAATTTGTCCATTTTGTGTTATTACTCTGACCCCTATCAGGATTATAGACTAACTTACTTTCCACTATAGAGTATTTAAGATGTAATTTTTAAATAAATACTTTCAAAGATTTAAAAGCCTCTATGGCTTTTAATTGTGGTAAAATACAGATTTTTATTACGTGCTTAAAATAAAACTTTTTAAAAGAAAAATAGCAATACTGTAAAATATAGAGTCAGTAATATGGTGAATGCTGAGGTAATGTTTTAATCATTTTGTAATATATTTATAATGCTTTAAGCATTTTGTAATATATTTTTCAAAATGCATATTTTATAATGAAATATTATAAACAAGTGATTATAAATAGAATATATTATAACTATAATATTTGTTATAAATAATTGCATTATAAACAATAAATTTAGTATTATAAATTACTATAAAATAATTGAACTATTTACAAGAAGTTTTTTTAGTAACACTTAGAAGCCAAGTGTTAAAAATAAAGATACTCAGGATTTTTTTTTAAATATAGAAAGCTTTTTCATATACTTACAAATTTTTTATTAATTGATTTTTTAAAGAGAGAGAGAGAGAAACATCGCATTGTTGTTCCACTTATTTATGCATTCATTGGTTACTTTTGTGTGCCATGACTGGGATCTAACCCCCAACCTTGGTGTATTGGGATGATGCTCTAACCAACTGAGCTACCCAGCCAGGGTAGTCATTATTTTGTAATGACTACTTTCCTATATGGAATCATTGTTCAACTATTCAAGTTGTGATTCAAAATATGGGAAGGCATATGCATTTTTGGAGATACTTATAATAATAGCATTGAAATATCAGAGTATTTTAATTTGTTCAGAGTAAAGTAAGTATGAAGCTTCAAATTAAATATTACATGTCTCTTTTAAATGATCACAAAGGCACATTTTGTACATGTAATTATCCTCATTTTCTTTTTTATTTTGTTAATCTTCACTGGAGGATATTTTTTTTTCTATTGAATTTTTTTGTTGTTGTTAGAGAGTGGAATGGGGGGAAGGGGAGAGAAAGAGAGGAAAGAGAAACATTGATGTGAGAGAGACACATCTATCGTGTTGCCTCTTGCACCTACCCTGACTGGGGCCCGGAATGGAACCCATAACCCTTTGATGCGCTGGCTGACACACTAACCACTGAGCCACGCCGACCAGGACTCATCCTCATTATTCACTGGCTATTGAACCTCTGTGATAAACCAGGACTTAAATATATTACCTCATTTAATTCTCACACACTGTGAAATAAGTGTTATTGTCCCTGTTATGCAGATGAGGAAACTGAACTCTAGAGAAGTCATACAGCCAGTAAGAGGAGATAGAATTTGAATCCACATGTTTTGGATTCTGTTATAGGAATCTACAAACATGCATATGTCTTTTTCAGAAGCGCATAAAACTGTATTTACCACAAAACTGGTTCATTTCTGACTTTATCAAGCTTGCTTGTAATAGCGTTGTAAAAACTTTTTTGCACTGTGACCCATAGTAAGACGTACATTTCACATTGTGATCCAGTATACATACATGTATTTACATTTACATATAATTAAAACAAAAGTTTTATGAAGTTTACTGCATGTGAATATTACTGATATATTCTAATCTGTTTTATTCTCTTTCACGATAAGAAATGCTGCTTGCAACTAAACTGATTTCAGATCTCTCTATGGGTTCTCAATTGAAATAATTCTGTACCAACTTAAAACATATGCAGTAAAGTGCTTTTCTTCATTATAGAACTTATATGTACTTTATAGAAAAGGAGAATGAAGGGGAAAACATCCCATGCTTTTGATCACTGAAAGACAACTACAGTTAACAATGTAGTGTATTTCCTTTCGATATTTTTTCTGATGGTATTTATATTGTTATACTTTTAACCATGATGCTTATATAAATTTGAATCCTAATTTTTTTAGTTTAGGATTTTTTACATTTATGTACACACAATGTAAATAATTACAAATTTTGTTTAGAAAAACAGTTGGTAATCTGTTAATCTCATCCTATTGAGGAACTTTTTACCAGAGTGTACTAAACCACTTCCATTTGGACTGGTTGATCTCTGGGTTTGCTGTACCAGTATCATCTTTGTATATCCCCCTTCACAGTTCTAGGATCCTTTTCCTCTCTTGTGTAGGATCCCCTGTATCCCATACTTTACTCTTTCTTGGAGAAATCTTTAAGTAGCTTCCTGAGAAAGGATGCATGGAAAATAAATTAGTTTGGACACTGCATGTCTGAAAATACCTTTTACCTTCACATTTTGCATGGCCAGCAAATTCCATTGGGTAATCTTTTCCCCTAATTTTGAAGGTTTAGCTTCTTTATTCTAGTTTTCATTGTATATGGGCTCCTAAAGCAAACCCTGATTTTTATTGTAGATATTGAAAACTCTAATGTAATTCTTAGTCCTTTGTATGGAAAAATTTTTTTTTCCTTTCTTAAAGCTTATAGAATTCTTTCCATCTCCTCTAGTGCAGCGGTTATCAACCTGTGGGTCGCGACCCCTTTGGGGAAAACACAGACCATCGGAAAACACATATATAATTACATATTGTTTTTGTGATTAATCACTCTGCTTTAATTATGTTCAATTTGTAACAATGAAAATACATCCTGCATATCAGATATTTACATTACGATTCATAACAGTAGCAAAATTACAGTTATGAAGTAGCAACGAAAATAATTTTATGGTTGGGGGTCACCACAACATGAGGAACTGTATTAAAGGGTCACGGCATTAGGAAAGTTGAGAACCACTGCTCTCGTGTTACATTATTTCACCATGATGTGTCTTGGTGCAGCCCTTAATGAGCTCTTTGCAAACCCATATTTTTTGTAGTTCTGGGAAGATTGATTCTGAAAAGCTTTGCATGATTTATTTTCCTCTAATTTCTTTCTGAGAGAGAAACATTGATTGGTTGCCTCTAGTAGGAGGCACAATGTTTATCTCAGCTTTGGTGTATAACAATTAGTGAAGGGCCAAACCTTGCCTGCTACATTAGGAACTCAGCCTTTAGAAGACGGATGGGAGGGGCAGGAGATTTAGTCCTCGAGGTAACTAGAGTAACAGAAAAGATCAGCCACAGAGAAACGAAAGTCAATCATTGTTTTGCTAAGTGCTTTTTGTATGAAGATCAGAATAGGAGTAACGACAAAACTTATTCACTATTAGCCCTGGAGAATTATGGGATACCAGTTGTTATATTTTTATGGTAGCTGTGCTTTTAATTGGAAACCTAGAAAAATGCTTCTTTTTCCATTATAGAAGATAAATGTCAACATGGAGAACGATTTTAAGATTGACTCATCATCTACCTTTGCTCTTCAAAGTTCTTCAGAGACATTGTTTTCCATTCAGCTGTTAGATTTCAGAACTAGTTTACTGGAAGCATTAGAAGAATTACGTATTCGAAGGGTAAGTACCTTTTTAAAGTGCTATTTTAATAGAGAACTGGATTTGTCCAGTTTAATTTTTGGTTTAAGAAAAAAGACCTAACAAAATAACCTCTTATTTAGAAAGAAGAAATACAGTCCAAATAATGAAGCAAAAGAGAAAAGGATAAATTTAGTTGACATCAGGGAATGGGAAATAAGAATTTATAAACCAAAGCAAAAAATATAGTAGATTTTCAGTTTGTTACATACTTGATAAATCAGCTAATATTTGTTGAGTACCTTGGAATGCATAGATAGCACTATAGTTAGACACTATGGATGATTTAAAAAACTATTCTTTAGGAGATTACATTTTTGTTAAGGTTATGAGTTAGGTACCTATGAAATGATTAAATGATGAAACAAGATAACACATAATTGACAAAATAAATGTATATAGTAAGTATTCTGAGTTCAAAGAATAAAATATTCTTAGTTTTAAAGTGATAACCCTGAAATTTTTAGGAAAGAGACATCTAGTATAAAAATTTTAGCAGGAGATCGCTATTGTTCAAAGCTGTTCAGTGTTTCTTGGGACTCCTTTTGTAGGAAAATTTTTAGCTGTGATCTTTTTGAGTGTTGCCTTCCCTTATTTCTTTTCTTCTATTACCTTGTTCTGGAACTCCCCTTAGGTAGCATATTGAATCATACCATTCTATCTTTTTTTTTAAAATATAATTTATTGATTTTTTATAGAGAGGAAGAGAGAGGGAGAGAGAGTTAGAAACATCGATAAGAGAGAAACATTGATCAGCTGCCTCCTGCACACCTCCCACTGGGGATGTGCCTGCAACCAAGGTACATGCCCTTGACCGGAATTGAACCCGGGACCCTTCAGTCCGCAGGCCGAAGCTCTATCCACTGAGCCAAACCGGTCATGGCCCATTCTATCTTTTATGACTCTTAACTCTTTTATAGTTTTTATATTTTTTCATTTATTGCATGTGTAATTCATTTTGTTGTTTCCTAATTGTCTTTTCAAATGTTTTTTTTCCTGCTATCTAACCTTGATGAGTTTTTATTTTCCAGGATTACATTTTTCATTTCTAGAGGTTTCTTCAAAGGATCTGCTATGGTCTGAATGTTTGTGTCCCCCCAATATACATTTGTTGAAACCTAATTTCCAGTATGATGGAATTAAGAGGTGGGGCTTTGGTAGGTAATTAGGTCATGAGGCCCAACAGAGCTCTAGCCCTTTTTGCTGCATGCAGTTATGAACAGGGAAGCTGTTCTCACCAGACACAGAACCTGACCATGTAGGCACCCTGATTTCATACTTCCAGTCTCCAGAACCATGAGAAATAAGTTTCTGTTGTTTATAAGTCACCTAGTCTATGGCATTTTGTTGTAGCAGCCTGAACAGACCAAGATAGGACTCAAAAATTTAGTGCTATGCCAATAAAAAACCAGTGAGATGTTTTTTAGAATTTGGCAAAATGATTCTAAAGTTAAATATATAAGAAAATATATTAATATATACACGTTATACACCTTAACTAATACAATGTTATATGTCACATGTCATTAGCTAGAAAAAAATGCATGAGTATAGATAGAAAATAAAAAAAAGAATTGCTACTTGCTCTATCAGATATTAAAGGCTTCTCCAATCTATAATAATAAAAGCGTAATATGCAAATTGGCTAAATGGCCAAACAGCAAAATGACCTTCAAGACGACCACGCTATGACATGTACTGTCGCCAGGCCAGCTAAAGTGTGTGCGATGTGATTGGTCGGGGGGCCCCGCCATCACCCCATGATCATCCTGCAGAGGGAGGCCCAGGCCACTGGCCAGCGGGGCAGTCAATCGGGGGGCTCTGCAATCACCCAAAGAGGGAGGCCCAGGCTACCGGGCAGCGCTGCAGTGGGTGGGTGGGGCCTCCCGTGGGGCCTCCCTCTGCTGGGTGAATGATTGCAGGGTTCCTGGACTGGGAGAGGGCGCAGGCCAGGCTGAGGGACACCTCCCCTCCCACCCCCCAGTGCACAAATTTCGTGCACCGGGCCTCTAGTACTGTAATAATTAAAAATGTGATATTGTTGCAGGAACAAATAGATTAGTAAGAGAATAAATCCAGTGGGGAAAGGAAGGAAGTCAATACATGGCACTTGGACAATTCATACATACTTTACATCTACACTAATAAAAGAGAAACATCCACAAACCATGTCCACCAGCCAATCAGGAGCGAGTATGCAAATTAACCCAACCAAGATGGCGGTGGCCATGGAGCTGGAGCGAGCAGGAGGCTTGGGTTGCCCCCGGCGATGGAGGAAGCCAAGCTTCCTGCCCGCCCTGGCCTCTGCTCAAGGCTACAAAGTTTCAGTTTTAGAAGGTAAATAAATCCCAGATACCTGCTTCCCTCCGCTCAAGGAGGCGCTGAAAAAAAAAAAGAAAAAAAGGAGGGGCTGGGAACTTAGGTTGCTGGGGGCCGTGGCCAGCCTGCAAACAGCCATCAGCCCCTCACCCAGGCTGGCCAGGCACCCCAGCGGGGACCCCCACCCTGAAGGGGGTGTGGCCAGCTTGAAAACAGCCCTCAGCCTCTCACCCAGGCTGGCCACACCCCACCAGTAGGGACCCTCACCCCCATGGGGGCATGGCTGGCCTGCAAACCACCACAGGCCCCTCACCAACGCCACCCCACGCCCCAAGGGAACCCCCACCCTGCTCCAGGACACCCTTCAGGGCAAACCAGCCAGCCCCAACCCGTGCCCAGGCCTCTATACTAATAAAAAGGTAATATGAAAATTAGACTGGGATTACTTCCAGGAGACCTTCCGGACGTTCTTCTGGACAAAGCCATGGTGGCGGGGCCGAGGTGGAGGCAGTTAGAGGCCAAGAGGGGAGGGCAGTTGTGGGTGATCAGGCTGGTGGGGGGTGGGGCCGTTGGGGGTAAGCAGACCAGGGGGGGCCAGCTGGGGGCAAGCAGGCCACCAGTGGGGATTAGTTGGAGGTGATCAGGACAGCAGGGGGGGGAAGTTTGGAGTGAGCAGGTCAGCAGGAGGGCAGTTGGGGGTGAGCAGGCCAGTGGGGAGGGAAGATGGGGGCGAGCAGGCCAGCAGGGGGCAGTTGGGGGTGAGCAGGCTGGCAGGGGAGGCAGTTGGGGGCAATCACACTGGCATGGGGGGCAATTGGGGGCAAGCAGGCCGGTAGGCAGAGTGGTTAGGGGCAGGCAGGCAGGCAGGCAGGCAAGTGAGCAGTTAGGAGCCAGCAGTCCCGGATTGCAAGAGGGATGTCCAACTGCTGGTGTAGGCCCGATCCCTATAAACTGGCAGTAGGACATCCTTCGAGGGGTCCCAGATTGGAGAGGGTGCAGGCCAGGCTAAGGAACATCCCCCTCCCCCGTGCACGAATTCTGTGCACCGGGCCACTAGTACAAATATCAAATGTAAAGAAAAAATATACTAGAAAATATAAGAAATAATTTTATAGTCTTTGAAATAGAGATTATCCTTCCTTAATGAAAAGATGGTGGTCAGGTATGATGATATACAGAGATTTTATGAATGAGTAGGAATTTTGGATCATTCTCTCTAAGGGTTTACCAATTGTGTTAGTATTTTCAAGAAATTAAATTTGGTTTTTCTGATTCTATTGTGTATTTATTTTATTGATCTCTTTTAGCTTTATTTTTTATTTTACTTAATTTTTTGTTCTTTTTGTTTTGAAGTTTTAGTGATGGATATTTAGTTAATTTTAACTTTGTTTTTCTAACAAAGGATTTAAAGCTGTAAACCTCTCTCAGCATGGTTTTAGCTGGTCACACAATTTTTACATATTTTATTTTCATTATCATTCAGTTCAAATTATTTTCTAATTTTCATTAGAATTTCTTTTTGAACCCATGAGTTATTTAGAAATGTATTACTGCTTTTACAAATATTTGAGAATGTTATTTTTGTTAACTTTAAAAAAATGATTTCTAGCATAATTCTACTGTATCAGATAATACGCTCTATATAATTTCAGTCACTTAGTATTTGTGGAGCTTTGCTTTCTAGTCAAGCATATGATCAATTTTGGTAAATATTCCAACATTGATGAACTTGAAAATAATGTGTGTTCTCTATTTCTTTGGTGTAGTGTTCTATGAATATGAATTTGGCCAACTTTGTTAATCTTGTTCACATCTCCCATATCATTACTGATTTTTTGTCTATATTTTCCTTTTTCTGTTCATGTTTTAGTGTGGTTATTTTCTTCTGTCCTTTTAGTTCACTAATATTCTCTTCCACTTATTTAATCGGCTGACATACTCAAGCTATTGAGCTCTTAATTTTATTTCTTGTATTTTTCATTTCTAAATTTTGTTTGGTTCTTTTGTAATTTTCAATTCTCTGCTGAATTTCATTTTATTATGTATTTTTGAGCATGTTATTTTATATATCTTAACGTCTATGGCTATAAACTCTGATATCTGGACTTGTAGATACATTTCTACTATCTGTTTTTTCTCTCACGATTTTTTGTTATTTGACCTTATTTTCTGAAATGTAGAGTGAATTTTGATTAAATGACTTTGTGTATGAAAAATTGCAAAGAAAATTGGAGGCTTTACATGCTGTCTTCCTCTAGAGAGGTTTACTTTGCTTCTGGAAGTAAGGATGGGCAGATCATCTTACCTATCAGAGATTGAGGTCACTGGAGGCTCAGTTACTATTTTTGTAAGGGTTAGTTTATTTCCACCCTCTAAGAGTGTAGCTCTTTGGACTTCCAACTAAAATCCTGGGATATTTTCCAAAATCCCTCGTCTTTGTGGGGTCCTGAACACTAAGTCAATCCTCAGAAAACTGCTGGTAGAACTGCCTCACTTTCTCAGCCCCTAGTGAATGGGTGAATGGCAATTGTCAGAATCATCTCTTTTTGCTTTCATTTTCTGTATGATCTTAGAGATGTATTCTAAATAATCAGTCTTTTTGCAGGATCATGAAATTTTAGAGGTGGAAGTGGCCTGAGATAGCGTCTAGTCCAGTGATGGCG